ACATGTCAATGCTGGTCAGAAGAGAGTGGTGGATCCATTAGAACTGGAGTTACAGATAGTTGTGAGCCTCCATGTGGCTGTTGGGAAGTTGTTGAGCCAGTACTCAGCTGTGTTTTTTTTTTTTTGTTTTTTTGTTTTTTTTTTTAATGTGGCATATGACTTCCAGGCTAGCCTCCAACTAGCTATGTAGCTGACACTGAACTGAATATCTGACCCTTCGGTCTCTGTCTCCCAAGTGTTAAGATTACAGATGTCCAGTTCATCCATAGCTGATGGCTACTCCCAGTGATTTGTGCAAGCTAAGTAAAGCACTCTACCAAACAAATTGTGCTTTTGTTGTTGTTAATGCAGAATGGAAAAAAACCTGTATTTTTTTTAAAGGAAATTTGAAAAACACTCAAGAAGCTACCCAGGTATGATGGACAGGCCTATAATCCCAACATTCTATAGGCTGAGGCAGGGTGATCACACATTCAGTCTGTCTGGGTTACACAGTGGGATCTCATCTCAAAAAAAAAGAAAAAGAAAAAGAAAAAAATTAGAAGATGTCTTGTTGATCACAGTCAGCCCAGACGGTGTGTGTGTGTGTGTGTGTGTGTATGAGCTCAAAGTTCAAGGGCATGCTCTCGTGTGGCTTTCTTAGCTCTGTCACCTCATGCATGGTAAGGGCCATACCATGTGTGGGAAGTCAGAGAGCATTAGAAGCCAGACTTATCCTTCTAATAACTCAAGAGCTCGGGTCTCCATGAGGTCTATCTCAATCCTTTTCAAGGGTACACTTCCAGGAAAATGACCACACCAAGCACCAGGATCCAACATAAGGCTCTGGGGTTACCGCACACGAACCAAGAGTTTTGCCACAGTAATTCCACCTGCTTTGCTGTGAATGGCTGTGATTCCCCTGCTTTTGTGTCTATTGTCTGTTGGATGCCTTTTCTGATTTTGTTCTATTTATGCCTTTCCTCTCTTGCTGTATTTTCTTTCGTGATTTTCTACAGTTTCCATTACTGTTTCTTTAAGAAAAACATCATTTTTTTTTACTTGAGATAACGGATCCCCTCCACCCCACCTCCATCTGTTGAAAAGTGGTTGTAGAGCTCAGAAGTCAGAGGCAGCAGATCTCTGTGGGTTCAAAACCAGTCTGGTCTACATAGTGAGTTCTAGAGCAGCCAGGGCTACATAATGAGACCCTGTCTCAAGAAAGAAAGGAGGAAGGAAGGAAGAAAGGAAGGAAGGAAGGAAGGAAGGAAGAAGTTAGAAGGGGGTTGGAGAGATGGTTCGGTGGTTAAGAGCACCTGTTGCTTTTTCAGGGACCTGAATTTGGTTCCCAGAATTTAAGGCAGGAAAGGTTTATTTAAACATTTAAAATTGTTATTTATTTTTACTTTATTTTATTTTATTTTCAATGTTTTGCTGTATGTCTGTGCACTACATCTGTGTGGTATTCTTGGAGGCATTGGGATCCCCACAACTGAAATTACAGAAGGTTGCAAGCTGTCACGTGGCTGCTGAAAACCAGATCCCCTCTAAGATCGGCGAGTGTTTTTAACTGCTGAGCCCTTTCTCCAGCCCTGCGGAGGTTTATTTTAACTCAGGGTTTCAGGGGGATTTCAGTCCCTCATGCAGGAGAAGGCAAGGTGCCTGGAGTAGCTCCATCCATAAAGGTGGGAGTGTGTGGTTGCAGCCTGCTGGAGGAAGAGAGCACCCCTGATCCGCAAAGGAGTTAAACCTTCCAGGCCGAATTGCTCCATCAAGCCCAAAAGGTCCCGTGCTCTAGACGGTCTACACCCCCCTGACACAGCGCCACCTGTTGGGGGTCAGGCGTGCGGACACATGAGCTTCTGGTAGACACTTCACATTCAAACCCTAACCCCCTTGTCATCTGTGACTCATTTGATGTACTTGAAAATGTTATTCTAGAAAGGATCCAAATCTGCCTTGGACCCAGTGGGGTGGGAGCGCAGGCATATGAATCCAGCCTTCCTGCTTTCACCTGCATCTGCTGCTCTGCTCTGTGGGGCGTGGTCCTCTGAAGGTTGATGAGAATCTTGACACATACTCAACTCCGCACACCACACATTTCTTGTAATTTAACTCGGGCTACTCCTCCATCCCAAAACAGCAGCTTCCTCTCCACACTGATCACAGAAAACCTCCTGCTTCTATTATGTATTCATACCCTTCTTAGCTTGTCACAACCGTGGTCCCCAGTAGTTAAAGCCTTTGGGGTGTTAGCTTGCAAATTCAATTCAGCATTTACCAGGAGGGATCAGCGGTTCAGGGACGCGGATTCCTGCTAGTGTGCAAGCTAGCTGGTGTGTAAGTCCGCTGGAGGCAGAGAGCAGCCCTGATCCAGAAAGGAGTAGCTAGCAGTTTATGTGCAAATCCCACATTCTGTTTAGCCACCCCCCCCACCCCCCCACCCCCCGTGGCATCATCTTAAACTTCTCTAACTGTAGGAGCAGGTACGTAGCTAGCTGCTCCTAGCCTAAGTCTTTCCTCTTGTCTTCAGAAGGCTGTCTTTGTACCAAACATTAGTGTGAGTTTTACATGTTTTTTGTTTCCCTTGAGTTTATTCGACTTTAAATAGCTTGTGGTAGTTTAGCCTTCCATTTCAGGTCACTGTTCAGAGTAAGCTTTGGGGCTCAATAAAGGCAGTCTTTTTTTTTTTCATGTACAAGTTACTGTCTCTGTGTGGCTTGTGTTTTCATGAGATATGCAGAAAATTGCTGGGTTCTGCTTTGTGTCCTGGCAATGTTTGTTGGTTTTGATCTTCTCATATCTGAAATGATTAAGGAAGTATAGTGATTGTTTTCTTGACCAAATGTCATTATCATCATCAGAGTATCTTTTTTTTTTTGGTTTGGTTTTTCAAGACAGGGTTTCTCTGTATAGCCCTGGCTGTCCTGGAACTCACTCTGTAGACCAGGCTGGCCTCGAACTCTCGAACTCAGAAATCTGCCTCCCTCTGCCTCCCAAGTGCTGGGATCAAAGGTGTGCGCCACCACCGCCCGGCCAGAGTATCTTTTAAAACATTTGGAATTGTATCACACTACTTTGGTCTTCCACTCTTGACCGTTGTCTTACAGAAGAGACCGCGAGTGGGTGCTGGGCCATCAAGTGGTTGCCATGTTTGGGAGTTGGAGGCGCTATTGAGCCTGCAGGTCGGAGCACTGCCTGTTCTCCAGGAGTCTCCCGTTTCTGAGTGAACCACATTCTGAAATGGCTGCAACCAGCTTACAATTGCGCAATTCCTCCTCAGAACATTTCTGCTGACTTCCCTAGCTCCACAGAAATCTACTAGAATGGCTGGCTTTGTAAATAAGACTGCCAATTCTGGAATCACATGCTGGCAAGGAGGAGGAGCAGGTGGGGCCCTCACACCCTACTACGGAAAGCAAAGGCGGTATTTTCCAAGTAGTCTGGCAATGCCTTAATCAAGTTTGTGCTGCAGTAACAGAGTAACAGGCCTGAGGTTTCTTGATCTTAAAACAAATAGCAGTGTATAGAGAGCATGAGGAGGAGGAGGCACAATCCTTTGCCTTTATACCCAGAAGGATAGCTGAGCCAATTGATATTCTATTTCTAATTTATTTAGAACTTCCATATTGTTTTTTCCAGAACTTTTAGGGCTTCAGATCTGCTTAGACCGTTATCACTTTGAGTGGATTTAAATGCGGTGTGAGATCAGGCAGGGTCCAGTTTTATTCTTCAGCATGTAACTAACTATCCAGTTTTCTGGAGACCAGTCATTTATTACTTTTTATGTTTTGCAGTACTAGAGATGGAACCCAGGGTCATAGGCATGCTAGCTAAGGCTCTACCAGCTAGCTGTATCACTCCACCTTCTTCTTACTTTGAGACAGGGTCCCACTAAGCTGCCCAGGATGGCCTTGAACTTGTAATTTCCCACTTCAGCCTCCCAACCAGCTGGTATAACTGGTTTGTACCACTAGGTCTGGCTGAAGAACATTTGTTGGTGAGATCAACCTTTCCTTTTACCTTCTTGGTTGTCCTTGTCAAAAATCAGCTGCTCCCATAAACTCAGGTTTATTTTTGCTTTTCTATCCTTTTCTATTGATCTATGTATCTGTTCTTATAAAGGTGCGGATTTTTGTTACATGCAAAATATAGTGCAGTCAACCCGACTTATAAGAAAAAGCTCTCGGTACAGATGGGGGCTCCCGTCTTCCAGAGTATGGCTGGTCTACTTCTCTTCAGCTTGAGCAATTGGATTCTTGTCCCTTCTGCCCCTGTCTCAGCAGAGTCTCTGAGATGTGGCTCTGCCCTTTCACCTATAGATTAGTATGAGTGGCTGCCTCCTTCAGGACACTGAGAGAGTACCTCTTGCTCAGAGTTGGCTGGAACCTGTGCCCTTGTCAAACAGTGGTTCTACAGTTACCAAGGGTGGCAGGGGAGGCAGGCCTGTGTGGCCATCAATTCCCTTGTTCTTCAGCAGTACAAAGAGCCAACCACTTTGGCTTTTTCCTGGGATACTGCCAATTCTCTACCTCAACCTGACAGGTGAGTCCAAAAGTCATGGAGTAAAACTCCTGCCTTTAAAATTAACAGGAGATGGGGAACACTTGGAACTGGCTGTTGGCCACCTCCATGTGAGAAGAAAGAAATTGGAATCTGGGGTTTCAGAGCCTGACCCTGTCCTCAACTCTCCACATACCAGTTCTGCTTACCACTACTTACTTCCCTCTCTCTGGGGTCCCAGCCCTCACTGATCACAGCCTGTGCTAAGCCCTGACGTTTCACCTTTTCCTACAGTTTCTAAAGGCTTCTGCAGGGAACCCCGGGGAATTCTGGTCTGCAGCCTAGGTTTAGACTCAGAACTCTATTGCTTGGTTTTGGAAAATCCATGCAAATGAGTATCTGCTAGTCTGCCTTTGACAGTGATGCAAGCTTGCTCACGTCTTGAAGCCACATCCTTCCTGCCACCAGTGTTACAGTGACCCCTATATATTTATCTCATTTCCCCTTTATCTGTACCCAAGGCTACTATCTGGGTGAGTATAGTTTCATGGAGCAGTGTGGGTAAAATGTCCAGGGAAGGAATGGGAGGCTATTTTTTAATGGCATGATTTATCTTAGTCAATAGACAAAAAAATTCTTTTAGACTTGTCTAACTTTAAAGTATTTCTGAGATGTTCTGTTTGCCATTATGTGTGTGGTTCGTGTATGTTGGGGAGGGGTGTGTGTGTGTGTGTGTATGCACAGAAAAAGCAATTATAGCTCCCTAGGACTTCAACAGTATTCACTCAGGGCAGCAGAGGGTGGACTGTCAGTGAGGGAATGTGCTGGAAGCCTAGGGAGCAGATAATGTAAAGACCAAAGCTATTGTGACAGGTCTTAGTAGCAGGGAGCAGGGGCAGAAGACTCCTGGGAAAGAGTGGGAACTGAGGGGTCAAAAATCTAGGAGGATCTGTGGAGCTGAGGCAGCAGTCAGCAAGAACACTAGAGATGATAGAAAGAAAGATGTGAAGTGCTGCAGGAAACAGGGAGAGGAGATGGACGAATGGATATAAAACAAGGACAGTGAGCTTGGGGCACTTGGAATGTCACCTTGCTGTCACATGAATATCAATTCGGAGGCCGTCACCATCTTCCAGGCCCTTTCCTCCACCATTTATGGCATCAGTCTGAGAAAGCCACTTAGTGTCTCTACTACCCAGCAGAAGGAAGCCACACACCACAGCTGAGAAACTAGGTGAGAAAAATAAATAGACTCAGGGCAGCATCTAGGCCTAGAAGAGCTCTAAGTGTGAATCACGATGCTCGTTATAGGTGTGAGATATTCAAAGAGCCGTTAAAGCGATGTACACATTTAATCTTCCTCTATATGCACCCAAGTTTCACCTGATGGGGTTCCTTCTGTCCGACAGTGGGACACAGAGGGGCACTGAAGGGTTGGCTGTCCATCCATCTGGCCTGTGAGTCCCTCACTTTGTTGCCCTGCAGTTGCTATCGCTTATTTTCTCCTGGCTTTCTCCTTCCTTTGTTCCTTTATCTCAGATGAAAATACAAGCAAGAAACCAGAGCTTTCCATTAAAAGAAATCGGGAAGCAATCTCTTCTGCTTTCTGAACAAGGAAGCTGGGGTTGAGAAACAGTGAAGACTGTGTCCAGGTCCCAGGTCCCAGCCTCGGCACCATAGATTCTGGTCATTCAGGAGTCCTGGTGACCTTGTGTATGCTTGTTCTCTTCGTATCATATCTGATTGTGTTAACGGCTTTCTTATTTTTCATCTCTACAGAGGGACTTTTCTTCCATGGCTCAGGACATACTCCTGGATCAAGCTAAGAGAACTTTCTGGTAAATAGTTGGCTTATTCAGTTCTTACTATGTCAGAGATGGTGACTCAGAGTCAAGTGGTATTTTTTTTTCCTTTTGAGTTTTCTGATTTAAGAAACTCAAAAACCTGTACCAATCTATGGGGTACCCTTAGATGGTTCAATATTAGCATCTAGTTTTCTGGGTTTTTGATGACATCATTTTCCGGACTTGGAGACTATTACTACGATTCTTCTTTACTCACATGGAGTTTTCACTCCTCCTCTTGCAGTGTGACCTAAGCCCAAAGACCCTCAAAAGGGCTGCTGATGAAGATGACAAGTGTCCGCTGCAAGCTGGCCCAGTATCTAGAGGACCTTGAAGATGTGGACTTCAAGAAATTCAAAATGCATTTGGAAGATTACCCGCCTGAGAAAGGCTGTATCCCAATCCCCAGGGGCCAGATGGAGAAGGCAGACCACTTGGATCTAGCCACGCTCATGACTGACTTCAATGGGGAGGAGAAGGCGTGGGCCATGGCAGTGTGGATCTTTGCAGCGATCAACAGGCGAGACCTCTGGGAAAAAGCCAAGAAGGACCAGCCAGAGTGGAGTGAGTGAACAAGAAGTGTTTTTTTTTTTTCTATACAGTAGAATACAAATGACACAAAAGGTGGAATTTTAGTGATTTTACGTATATGGCTCAGTAACTAGGAAACATGCGGTTGTGCAATCAACTTCTCATTTTGCACAACTGAAGCTCCTAACACACTAGATGCTAAGTCCCTGTGACCTCCCCCTGTCTCCTAGCAACCACCATTCTGTTTTCTGTCCCTGTGAACTTTACCACTATGGATTCCTCACGTAGGTAGAATCAAAGTGTTGGTCTCTTGTGGCTGGCTTATTTCACTTAGTGTAGTGTCTTCAGGTATGTCAGAATTTCCTTCTTTAAAGATTAATGAATATTCATGTGTCTAGGTTACATTGTGCTTGTCTCATCTGCACACATCCATTTGCTGTGGATAACTATGTTTATTCAACATCTTCCTTTCTTTGGTTTTGAGTTAGAGTCTCAAGTATCCCAGGCTGGCCCCAAACTCAGAATCCTCCAAACTCAGCAGCCTTCTAACTGCTGGGTGATTATGTCTTTTACTACACAGATATTAGCATGTTTGAAATGTTAATTTATTACCATGGGTTTTCCTTCTCTCCTGGCGGGGTATGACAGGGTGTGGGGGATGCAGTGTGCTTTCCCTAATTCTGTAAAAACTCCAGTCTGAGTCTCAACTTACTCCCAGGAGCCCATTGTGGCTGGTACCACACTCTCAAGTCTGCTCAGAGCTGAGGTCCTCCTCTGGCTCCCCAACCGGCTCATAGCAGATGCTTGTCTGCTCTAAACCAGGGAAGTGGCAGAGGGGATTCAGAATAACCAGAGAAGTCCCAGGAAGGGGATGCTGAATGGGGGCGGAAGAGGGAAGTAATCACAGGAGATAAGGATGCTGGGGGGTGGTGTTACTCAGAAATAGAGGCCTCCCTGTTATGCACAGGGACCTGGGTTCCATCCCTACGCCATTCCTCCTCATCCATTTCTCCTCATCCAGTTGGAGATGAGGAGGTGTGTAGCAAGGCAATGGTGATCCAGGAGAACGAGACGGAGCTATGTGACAATCAAATTGCACATCATGATGCAGCTATAATTGTTCCTGTCCTGAGACTGTGTGCAACAGGAGTGAAGTGTTAATCTCAGCAATAGAAGTCCTGACTGAGCAATTTTAGATGTTTTCAAATTAAAACATTAAACGTTTTTAGCTATTTATTTTGTGTGCTTATGTGTGTGCGCCATGGCACATGTGTGGAGGTCAGAGGACAGCTTGCAGGGTTTGATTCTTTTTACTGTGTAGGTCTTGGGATCAAACTCAGGTCATCAGGTTTGTGCCTTTACTCCCTGAACCAGCTCTCTCTGGCTCTATACTAGGTAGTTGGTTTTTGTTTGTTTGTTTGTTTTTTATAAGATTTATTTTGGGCCAGATGTAGTAGTACATCTCTTTATTTCCAGTACTTGAGAGGCAGAGGCAGATGGATCCATGGGAGTTAGAGGCCAGCCTGTTGACAGAGCAATCAGGACAATCGGGACTGTATAATAAAGAGATCAGATCTCAAAGAAAAGCCAAAGAACAAAAACTCAAAAACAACAAAAAATTTACTTTGTGAATTTACTTTGTGAACATGCAGCGTTCATGTGTTGGTACCTGAAGAGGCTAGACGAGGGTATCATATTCCCTGGAACTGGAGCTACAGATAGTTGTGAGCCACCATGTGGGTACTGGGAACTGAATCCAGGTCCTCTGGAAGAGCATCACGTGCTCTTAATCACTGAGCCACCACTCCAGGAACCCTGTACAAGGCAGTTTTAATGGATTTTGTTTTTCTTTCAATAACCCTCTGAAGTAGTCCCTAGTCAGAGACATTATGTAAGAAGTAGGTTGAGGTTTGAGGTTGCACAAATATCTAGATTTTTGTTTTGTGACTCCATTGCCAGTGGTGCTTTCTTTTCTTTTCTCTTCCCTTCCTTCTCTCCTGCCCATCCTCCTTTAGATAGGGTCTCACATAAAACAGGCTGACCTCAAGCTCACTGTGCAGCCAAGGATGACCTTGAACTCCTGATCCTCCTGCCTTCACATCCTGGATGCTAGGTATGTGTGCTAACACCATGCCTGGCTTATATCCAGGGTAGAAAGGCACTCTACCAACTGAGCTACATCCCTGATGTTATCTTCCAGAATAATTCTGCATTCTCAGGAGTATGTCTGTGTCCTTGATCTGTCGTATGTCTTTTCCTGGTGGGGACTTTAGTTGTATTCCTGAATTTCCCCTAGGAGGAAAGTCCATATTACTCGGATATGTAGTTCTTGGCTGTAGGTACCTGTTGGAATCACCTTGGACTTTTCCATGGATGACGATGCCTAAGCCTCAGCACAGAGTAGAAAGAACTCCTTTGAGTAGAGTGTTACCTAGCATTTTCAAACATTTCCATGTGAATATAGTAAGCCATTGTTCTGAACTACGTAATTGGACTGACTGACTAATGTTCCCTTCTGAAGACCTAGAAATCTAGACACGACAGCACAGAAATGGCCCACACGGGCTACATACATCCACCTAAGCTCAGGGGAAGGTGAACCTGTCAGGAGAACATTGCGGATCTTGTACATGGACCCTAAGTCAGGGTGCTGGGGACAGTCAGGGACAGATGACAACAGCAAAGGAAACACGGTTTGATCTCATAAGTTCTCTAATGAGTATCTGGGCCTGGGAAAGACATTCTGAGCTTGAGAACACAGTTCTGTCTGAAGACTGACAGCTCCTCTTTCAAAGTAAGGCAAGCAGAATCATACCTACTAGGCCTTTGATGCCTGAACTATCAAGTGTCTGCTTACTGCCATGTTCCCCTACTTTTTTTTCTTTTTCTTCATTTTTTTTTCCTCTTTGAGACATGATCTCATGTAGCCTAGGCTGGCCTTGAACTCACTATGTAGCTGAGAATAACTCTGAAGTTCTGATCTTCCTGCCTCCATTTCCCAAGTGCTTAGCTTAGAGGTATATGCTCTCCTGCCTGACTAAGGCACATTTAATTCAGAAGGAATAAGGAGAAGGGCCTTTGCCTTACCTCACAGTCTAGGCTCAGTTCTATCCTCTGTGTTAGGACTTTTTGATATATTTTATGTTTTTTTCATTTGTGTTTAGATGATGCTTGTGTGTCTAATTCCTCTGTGGTATGCCGGGAAGACAGCCTTGAAGAGGAGTGGATGGGTTTGCTGGGATATCTCTCCCATATCTCAATTTGTAAAAGAAAGAAAGGTAAGTATCAAGCAGCTGCTGCTTTCAACTTTAAGACTTGGAACAAGGGCTAAGGAACTGGAAAGCAGGGAAGCGTGGCCTGCCTCAGGAAATCCGCCTTCACTGCAGAAACAGATGCATAGTCACATGGCTTCCTAAGGTCCCGGGGGAGGGGTTATTTACTGCAGGTAGATTTGGGTTTCAGAAGCTGGGCAGTGGTGGCGCATGCCTTTAATCCCAGCACTTGGGAGGCAGAGGCAGGCAGATTTCTGAGTTCGAGGCCAGCCTGGTCTACAGAGTGCGTTCCAGAACAGCCAGGGCTACACAGAGAAACCCTGTCTCGAAAAACCAAAACCAAACCAAACAAACAAACAAAAAAGCCAACCAACCAACCAAACAAAAAAACTAGATTTGAGTTTCAGGCTAAAGGTATAAGGCTTAAGTAACAGATTTCTGGCTGGAGGCCACAGTGCTGGCCTTCTGCCCTATCGTGAGTGGGAAGTACTTGACACCAGAATTTTGGGGAACTGATACACTGAAGCGGTAAAGACAAATTACACCTCCTGTTTTTCTTTTTTTTTTTTTGGTTGTGAGCCTAGCTTTTAACGGCTGAGCCCTCTGCCCAGCCGTTACCATCTCTTTTTCTAAGCCAATTCTTACTTCCCCTAGAGTATAAGCCACTGTCTTTCCTTTTAGGCACACGGCCCATGTTTAATATTTACATGCATTTTTATGTTGCCTTCATACAAATTTGGAAAACAGTAATAGATACAATAAGACCCCTGGAGAACACATTGCCACCAGGACTTGCAGATCCCAACCACATAGGCTTCCAGCCAATTATAAAATGGTTGGTGTTGCCATAACAACTGTGCCACGACTGTATCAATGACTACATCTCACTATACACATTTGAGTGCTTGGCGAGCTAGTTGACAGTCAGCACTCTGCATTTCTGTTGTTGTTGTTATTGTTGTTGTTGAATCCTCCCAATTCTTACTGTTCCTCCTGTAGCAACAACAGTGTTATTGTCGGGGAATAGATGGGTGGGCTTTTCCTGGATTCTACCTTTCCGTCTCTGTTGCAGATTACTGTAAGACGTACAGAAGACATGTGAGAAGCAGGTTCTACTCTATCAAAGACAGGAATGCACGTCTGGGTGAGAGTGTGGACCTCAACAGGCGCTACACTCAGCTCCAACTGGTCAAGGAGCATCCAAGCAAGCAGGAGAGGGAGCATGAACTCCTGACAATCGGCAGGACTAAGATGTGGGACAGACCCATGAGTTCCCTTAAGCTGGAGCTGCTGTTTGAGCGGGAGGATGAGCACCTGGAGCCTGTGCACACAGTAGTGTTCCAGGGAGCAGCAGGCATCGGGAAAACTATCCTAGCCAGGAAGATTATGTTGGACTGGGCATTGGGGAAGCTCTTCAAAGACAAATTTGATTATTTGTTCTTTATCCATTGTCGAGAGGTAAGCCTCAGGACACCAAGGAGTCTAGCAGATTTGATTGTCAGCTGCTGGCCTGACCCAAACCCACCAGTATGCAAGATCCTTCGAAAACCTTCCAAGATCCTCTTCCTCATGGATGGCTTTGATGAGCTGCAAGGGGCCTTTGATGAGCACATTGAGGAGGTCTGCACAGACTGGCAGAAGGCTGTGCGGGGAGACATCCTGCTAAGCAGCCTCATCCGAAAGAAACTGCTGCCTAAGGCCTCTTTGCTCATTACAACGAGGCCCGTAGCCTTGGAGAAACTGCAGCATCTCCTGGACCGTCCCCGCCACGTGGAGATCCTAGGTTTCTCTGAGGCCAAAAGGAAGGAATATTTCTTTAAGTATTTCTCAAATGAGCTGCAGGCCAGGGAAGCCTTCAGGCTGATCCAAGAGAACGAGATCCTCTTTACCATGTGCTTCATCCCCCTGGTCTGCTGGATCGTGTGCACAGGGCTAAAGCAGCAGATGGAGACCGGAAAGAGCCTGGCCCAGACCTCCAAGACCACTACTGCCGTCTACGTCTTCTTCCTTTCCAGCCTGCTGCAAACCCGGGGGGACATCGAGGAGCACCTCTTCTCTGCCCACCTGCAGGGGCTGTGTTCTCTGGCTGCGGACGGAATTTGGAACCAGAAAATCCTATTTGAGGAGTGTGATCTGCGGAAACATGGTCTGCAGAAGACCGACGTCTCCGCTTTCCTGGGGATGAACGTGTTTCAGAAGGAAGTGGACTGCGAGAGGTTCTACAGCTTCAGCCACATGACTTTCCAGGAGTTCTTCGCTGCTATGTACTATTTGCTGGAAGAGGAGGAAGAAGGGGTGACCACGAGGAAGGGGCCGGCAGGTTGTTCAGATCTTTTGAACCGAGACGTGAAGGTCCTCCTAGAAAATTACGGCAAGTTTGAAAAAGGCTATCTAATTTTTGTTGTCCGTTTCCTCTTCGGCCTTGTAAACCAGGAAAGAACCTCCTATTTGGAGAAGAAACTAAGTTGCAAGATCTCTCAGCAAGTCAGACTGGAGCTGCTGAAGTGGATTGAAGTGAAAGCCAAGGCCAAGAAGGTACAGAGGCAGCCCAGCCAGCTGGAACTGTTCTACTGCCTGTATGAGATGCAGGAGGAAGACTTTGTGCAGAGCGCCATGGACCACTTTCCCAAAATTGAGATCAACCTCTCTACCAGAATGGACCATGTAGTTTCTTCTTTCTGTATTAAGAACTGTCATAGGGTAAAAACACTTTCCCTGGGGTTTTTCCACAACTCACCGAAGGAGGAAGAAGAAGAGAAGAGAGGAAGTCGACCCTTGGACCAGGTCCAGTGTGTTTTCCCAGACTCTAGTGTTGCCTGTTCTTCTAGGTAAAGAAACTTGGCTTCAGGCAGATGATAACCTTATGCTTTCTGGCTACTTTTCTTAGCCTTCCTTCCTTCCTTCCTTTCTTCCTTCCTTCCTTCCTTCCTTCCTTCCTTCCTTCCTTCCTTCCTTCCTTCTTTCTCTCCTCTATTTCTGATTATTTTCCAAGTATAATTGCCAAGCTTCATGATAACATGACTGTCACCCTTTCGTTGGTTGAGAGTGACTTATGCTGCGTGGATGAATGGGATTGAGAACAAAACCCAGTGAACTAAGAAGTAAGCATTTGGGAGAATATTGCTTCAGTGCACAGTATCAGGTGGCTGGTGGCATTGCGTGGATATGTCTGTAGACGTCCCTTGCTTGTATCCTAGCAATGGATACTGTTCTTCAACCCACGATGCTGTAATGGATGCCAGAGATTATCTTTGAAGACAAAGACTTATTTATTACAGTTGTGGAGGATGGGAAGTCTAAAGATAGGTGATCCCACAGGCTGTTTTCATCTGGCAGAAGGAAGATATCAGCTTCACAGGTCTCCCTTGCACAAGATGCTGACATTCTCTATGAGGGTCTGCCAGCATGGCCAGCCATACTCCTCACTTCCTAATCCCATCCTTCCGAGATGAGGTTGTCTAAATGTTTCTTTTTGTTTTTGTTTTTGGTTTTTTTTTTTTTTTGGTTTTTTGAGACAGGTTTTCTCTGTATAGCTCTGGCTATCCTGGAACTCACTCTGTAGACCAGGCTGGCCTCGAACTTAGAAATCCACCTGCCTCTTCCTCCCAAGTGCTGGGATTAAAGGCGTGCGCCACCACTGCCTGGCCTAAATGGGTTTTTAAGGGCAGGATGGACATGCAGACTGTGTGGGGGAGGGGGTTGGGGGGGTGGAGATAAGAGAAGGCAGATTTGATCCTTAAGGACCGAATACAAGGTGGAGAGAGGATGAAAGGCCTGACAAGGACCACACACTGATGGGCAGGGACTCTGCTACAGCCCCTGATGAGAAGTGAGCTCTTACTTCAGGTACCAGCCATTTTCCTTGCAGGGTACAGGCTAAGTTTATCACTGAACATTTCAAGAGGACTAGCTAAGTGCAGATCCCCCATCAGAGGTCCGGAGTCCAAAACCCAGTCCTGCAGCTATTCAAAGAAGCTCTGTTCTTTTTTAAAGCTAGGGTTCCTTGTAGCCCAGGCTAGCCTTGAACCTGAGCTCACTCTGTAACTGAGAATGACCTTGAACTCTTTTATCTTCTAGCCTCCGTGTTCTGAGTACTAGGATTACCGGCACTCGAAAACATGCTCTGTTGTTATGTAGTGTTAGGGGCCAAACTCAGGGGCTCAAACATGCTAGTCAAACCCCTACTCACTGAACTACACCCTGTCCCACAGGGCTACAGGGTATTCTAATGTGACTCCTTGAAAATGACTATAAAAACTAAAAACTTTCAGTGTAGCTGCGTCTCTCTTTTAAGACTCAGACTTTCCTTCTGTGGTGGCAGCCTGGCCTAGGGCTTTTCTGCAGCACTCCTGATGCATCTGGGCAGCCTGAGGCAAAGATGCTCCTTGGCTTAAGCTTCAAGTCCAGGCCAGGGTAACAACTGCTAACTAACTGGGAAGGAGGTGCCAGAGGGTGTTTGTAGTAAGCCAAAGGCTTACTTCTTTGCATCTCAAAAGGAATCTCTCTACCCAAGGCTCACCAGCTTGCTTCCCTCCTCTGAATGGATCTGTGTGACTGGTGGCTTAACACTTAGGACACTCTTCTATGAACAGGTGCCAGGACACCTGTCCTGAGTTCCACTTTGTTGTCATTGGAAACTGATGTTCTCTTCTGTCCTCCTCCCTTGCCATTCCAGACTGGTGAACTGCTGCCTCTCTTCTAGCTTCTGCCGAGGTCTCTTCTCAAGTCTAAGCACCAACCAGAGCCTCACTGAACTGGACCTCAGTGACAATACTCTGGGGGATCCGGGCATGAGGGTGCTGTGTGAAGCACTCCAGCACCCAGGCTGTAACATTCAGAGATTGTGGTAAGTTTGTGTGTGTGTGTGTGTGTGTGTGTGAAAGTGTGTGTAAGTGTGAGAGTGTGTGTGAAAGTGTGAGTGCAAGTGTGTATGAGTGTCTATATGTGTAAGAGTATCTCTCTGTGCTTGAAAGTGTGAGTATGTGTGTGTGTGAGTGAGAGTGTGTGTGTGTGTGTAAGTGTGAGTGTGTGTAAGTGTGAGTGTGTGTAAGTGTGAATGTGTGTGTAAGTGTGAGTGTATGTAAGTGTGAGTGTGTGGGTATGTGTGAGTATGTGTGTGTATGTGTGAGTGTGTGAGAGAGTGTGTATGTGAGTTTGTGTGAGCTGTAACATTCAGACTGTGGTAAGTCTGTGTGTGTGTGTGTGTGTGTGTGAGAGAGAGAGAGAGAATGTGAATGTGTGTGAGTGTGTGAAAGTGTGAGTATGTGAAAGTGTGAGTGTGTGTGAGTGTCTGTATGTGTACAAGTGTCTGTGTGTGTGAGTGTGTGAAAGTGTGAGTATGTGAAAGTGTGAGTGTGAGTGTCTGTATGTGTACAAGTGTCTGTGTGTGTGTGTGTGTGCGCGCGCACGTGCGCATGTGCGTGTGTAATGGTTGGGACGAGACTGTAGAGAAAGATGATTGATGGGTCTGGTCAGTTGTCCCCAGGGTTACTGTGTAAAGGGACCAAGGGCCAAGCCCTAATGGCTTTAACTCAGGTTTAATGTTAGAAGTCCAAAGTCATGTCTCCATTGGTTGATTTGTTCTGAGTCTCTCTCCCTGGCCATTTTCTCCTTGAGACTTTGCATCATCATCTTCCAGCTGTATGTGTCTGTTCTCTAACCTCCAACAACCTTTTCTTGTACTGATACCAGTCCAACTGCACTAGGGCTAACACTGGATTCAGTTTGACTATCTTTTTGAAGCGCTTATTTCCAAGTATGGCCACACGCTGTGGTCTTATGGGGGTGGAGCTTGATGCATGAAGCTTTGGAGGGACAAATCTGATTCTATTATAAGTGTGCTGACTGAATGGACTGGAGGTGAGTTTAGAAAGTTGTAGATGGGGAAGATGAAGAAGAACTGAAAAGAGCTATTTGACAAAACAAAGTCTGTGTCTTTAATTTTTTCATGGACCAGGATTCTGGGTGAGAACTGGGAAATTTCATCACAGATGCTGTTATGGGGAAAAGTGTATCTCCTATGGCTGGCCTCACTAGTACTACCCACGTGTTCAGTCTACTGTGATTTACATGCCACAGTCTGACCAGCTGGGCCCTGGACTGTCCCTCCAGCTCTATTTAACACATACTCTGGATGCATGTAGCATCTGAGTTTTTAACAAGTTACACAGCTCTTTAAATTTTGTTTCTTTGTTATTTATTTGAAAGACAGGACCTCAGTATGTTGCCCAAGCTGGCCTTCTACTTTCTGGCTCCAGCAATCGCCCTTCCTCAGCTCCTTTAGTGGGACTGTGAGTGTGAGGCGGCGTCCTGGCCATTAAGTTCATTTCTTTAGAGCATTTCTCTATCTCCACATTGATCATGCTATACACCACCCCAACACCATCTTTTAAAACTCAATTTTATTTTCCGTATAAGCTGCTCTTCACTTTCTCTTATCCTCACTTGGCTAGCCCAGGGCCAGGAACGCTGTGCTGGATGTTACAGTGAGCTTAGCCTATGGCTCCCTGGGGAAGAGTTCCTGTTATTTCGCTATGGTCTTTGGAGTACCAGGGCATGTCAGTCTTTAAGAGTGTGCATCAGAAGAATGTTGGGTGTTTGTCTCTCTGCATCTGCTTTTTCTTTTCTCTTAGATTTATTTATTTTATGTGTATGAGTGTTTTGCCTGTATGTATGTCTGTGTACCATGTGTATGCCTGGTGCCCTTGGAGGCCAGAAGAAGGTACTGGATTCCCTGTAACTATGGTAATGGATAGTTGTAAGCTACCATGGGTGTTGGGAACCAAACTTGGGGTGTTGGAGATATAGCTTGGCAGCTAAGAGTTCTTGCTGTACTGGCAGAGGTCCCAAGTTTGGAATACAGTCATACATGCAGGCAAAACATTCATAATACATAAAAATAAATAATTTCCCTATTCTGCTTTCCAAGTGGCTTTATATTGAGAATTATTTTATTATTTCTGAATGTTATTGAAAACTAATGATTATTCCATTTTCCTTTGTTGGCTTGTTAGCTGCAGATTTTTGTTGCGTTATTTTGATGAATTTTCTTTTGGATGTATTCCTTACATATTTAGCTTACTATAGCATTGCCACAGTGTCCATTCCATAGTGTCTGTCTGTCTTTCTTTCTTTCTTTCTTTCTCTCTCTCTCTCTCTCTCTCTCTCTCTCTCTCTTTCTCTCTCTCTCTCTTTCTTTTTTTAAAAAATGATTTATTTATTTTATGTATGTGAGTACAATTATAGCTGTCTTCAGACACACCAGAAGAAGTCATCAGATCCCATTATAGATGTTTGTAAGCCACCATGTGGTTGCTGGGAATTGAACTCAGGACCTCTGGAAGAGCAGTCAGTGCTCTTAACTGCTGAGCTATCTCTCCAGCCCCATAGTATATTTCAATGTCTACCCTTCTAGCCTATGAGCTACATAATTATTTTATGCTTCTGAATTTCATATACTCCATTCTGTGCTTTATTTTGTTTAACTCCAAATATATGGAGCAAGAAATTTTAAAATTAAAAAGCTCATATTCTTTTAAAAGAAAATTTCTATTTTTCTTTTCTTTAAAAATTTTGGGGTGTGTGTTGTTGTGTTATCTATGTCTGTGTGTATGTGGGCCTGCACATGTCACAACGTTCATATGGAAGTCAGAGGACAAGTTTGGAAATTGGTTTGTGACATAGATAGAAGTGAGGCCATTAAGTTAGGGTGGCAAGAACCCTGGCCTTACTGTGGAGAACTAACTGAATCCTGAGAAAACTCCTCTAACTCCTTTGGAGAGCAGTGCCTACAGTGACATCAGTATTTTGGACTTAGCCTCACCCCTTAAAGGTTTCAGCCCCTCTCACAACACCAGACTGAAGACCAAGCTTCTGGCTGTGGCTTCCTGGGGACAAACCACAGGCGAACAATAGTGCATAAAAGGACTCACAAATTGGGGGCTGACAGAGCTGAGCTTTGCTTAGCTGATGTTCCCCCCCCCCCCCCGCCCACCGCAGCTCTTCTCTGTGGCTCACGGAGATCTGTTCACCAAGAAGGAAACTGAGTGAAGGCCACACATACCAAGGTGTTGGCACATTGGGAAGCATAGAGAGGCTCTAACTTTTCCTCACCCTTCCTATCTGTGTCTCCTGATTGTGGCTTTGGTGTCCCTGACTCACCCAGCAGAATAGGAACTTTATGAGATTACCTGTCAGTTCTGCTTCCTAAATTTCTCCTCTGTGTAGAGAAAGCACTGCGATTAAACTCTCATAATGCATATAAAGACTGTTTGTCACGGAGATAAGAACTCTAGCAACATGCATGCCTCGTGAGGGGGCTTCAGCCATTAGAAACTCTGGAAGGCAGGGGCTTCAGGCTCACTACCCTTGTCATTTACAAACTAGGATGTACCCTTAGTGCACCTGAAACATAGATCAACATGAGCTTGGTGTATTCACCACAAGGCCCCTCCCACTTCTAAGATGCCCTGTGCATTGCTCAGGAATGCTGGTTATCCCAGAACACATCCGCTCCTGCCTGATGCAGAAACTGCATTTAGACTGGAGAACAATAGGAACGAAGGGGGCTGTGTGAATTGGCTTTTCATCCATTCGATAAGTACCTGAGGCAGTCAAAAGGAGGAAAGAGTTGTTTCGGCTCATGGTTCTAGCCCGTGGTCAGTTGAGTCTGTTGTGATGAATCAGAATATCGTAGTAGCGTTCTATGTGATAGGGGAGTCTATGGCCGTCATGGTGCTTAAGGAATGAAGGAGGACGAGGGGGAAAGAGACAGACAGACACACACACACAACACACACAGAGACAGACAGACAGACAGACAGACAGAATAATATTTCAATAGCTCCTCAAGGTCACCACCATCAGTGTCCATATGTCCTATGTGTCGTCCTCTAGGCTCCACTTCCCAGAAGTTTCATGCCCTCCCCATAGTTTGAAGATGTAGGCATGGGTCACATGTAGGATCTAGATCCTGAGAGGGGCCACACTCTGATGTCTGATTCTGTACTTGGTGCAGGTTGGGGCGCTGCGGATTGTCCCATCAGTGCTGCTTCGACATCGCTTCAGTCCTGAGCAGCAGCCAGAAGCTGGTGGAGCTGGACCTCAGTGACAATGCCCTGGGGGACTTTGGAGTCAGACTGCTGTGTGTGGGACTGAAGAATGTGCTCTGCAACCTACAGAAACTTTGGTGAGTCCGGCCCACCTCCCTTAGGCAGATCTGTTGTGGAGGCCCCTTTCAGGAACTCCGCTTCAGAGAGGGAGACACAAGAGCCGTCAGCTCATGTGTGAGGATAAGGATGTTCTCAGTGGCCTGGAGGACTTCCTGCACTCCCTTCTGCTAGTTTGCCAGTCGAACGATTTCTGTGGGGGAAGTAACCTGTAAAAATATAGCAGTCGTGTGTTTGTGTGTGTGTGTATGTGTGTGTGTGTCTGTGTGTCTGTGTGTCTGTGTGTGTATGTTTATAAATCATCAAATAAACTATATCTATCTTTAAGATACCTGAGAAAACAGAAGCACTGCAAAGCATCATGATAGAACAGTTCTGAGAGTTCATAATAAATCCTCACACTAAACAGAACGAAAAAGCAGTGCTAAAGCGATGGTGTGAGGTCCTTACAGAATGCTTCTAGGAGACAAGAATTCTAAAAAAGATAGGAGAGCGCTTGAGGCTGGGGATGCAGCTCAATTGAGAGCACTTGCCTAGCATACGTGAATCCCCAAGCTTGATCCTCAGGACCGAATCAAACCAGCAAACCAGTTGCACTGGCAGAAGGATCAAAAGATCAAGCTCATTTTTGGTTACATATTTTTGGCCAGCCTGGGCTACATGAGACCCTGTCTCAAAACAAAAACCAAAACAAACAAACAAAAACAAAAAGACAGAAACAAAACCCCACTTGATCAGGTGGTGCTAGCACATAGTTCATCACCATGATTATAGAAAACAAACCCACAACAAACAAATAAGAAACCAGACTAGTGTGGTTGGACTAGGACCTGGAGAACTGGAACTTTTTATCTCGGTAATGCACTTGTTCTCAACTTGTGGGTAGAGACCCTGTTGGGGGTCAGACGACCCTCTCACAGGAGTTTTCTAAGAGCATCAGAAAACACAGATATTTACCATAGCAAAACCACAGTTATGAAGTAGCAACAAAAATGTTATGGTTGGAGGTCACCACAGCATGAGGAACTGTATTCCAGGGTCACAGCACTAGGAAGGGTTGAGAACCCCTGATCTAGTAAGAATGTAAAACAGCAGCAAGCGAGAATGTAAAACATGGCAATAAGCCCGGTGATTCTCACACAATGAATACGGACCTGCACTTGACCCATGTGTTTTCAGGTGTGTCCGCCAGCAGTGCAACCGTGTTTGCACGCATCGAGTCCAGCGCATGTCAGTAACAGCAGTCAAAGGTCAGAAACTTCTCCATGTCTGTGATGGACAATGGTCAAGAAGGTGTTTCTGCACATACGCAGCTTTGAACAAACTGTGACACTTGCTAAAGTCTTCATGAGTTTTGAGGGTGTTCTATTAAGTGAGACAAATCTGTCACAAATGGCAAACACTATTATCACACTTATATAACATTACTTAAGTTCATACATAGGACATAATGGTAGCTTCCAGGGACTGGGAAGGAATGAATGGGAGATTTTTGTTTGTTTTCTTGTTTTGTTTTGTTTTGTTTTGTTTTAATGGGTAGAGAGAGTTTAAGTTTTGTAAAATCAAAGTGATCAGAAATGGATAGTGATGCTGGCTGCTCTTAAGGGCACTGAGTTGTTGTTGTTGCTGTTGTTGTTGTTGTTGTTGTTGTTGTTGTTGTTCTTCTTCTTCTTCTTCTTCTTCTTCTTCTTCTTCTTCTTCTTCTTCTCCTTCTCCTCCTCCTCCTCCTCCTTTTCCTCCTCCTCTTCTTCCTCCCATCCTCCTCTCCTTCTTCTTATCCTCCTCTCCCTCTCCTCCTCTTCCTCTTCTTCCTTCTCTTGATCTTCCTCCTCCTTCTCCTCCTTCTCCTTCTTCTCCTCCTCCCTCTTTTTCCAGTGCTGGGGGCTGGGTCTAGATCCTCTCACATGCTAGGCAAGCACTCTACCCCACCCACCCCTTTTCCTTTTTCATATTGAGTCAGGGTCTTGCTAAATTGCTCAGGTACCCCTTATCTTTTGATCCTCTTGCCTTAGCCCCCTGAGTATCTGGGACTGCAGGTCCCTGCTACCAGGCCTCAATAAAGTTCTGCTCTAAAAGTGGTTAAGGTGACAGATTTTATATATTAAAAACCTGTTTTTATATTATTATTATTGTTGTTGTTGGTGGTGGTGGTGGTGTGTGTGTGTGTGTCTGTGTGTGTCTGTGTGAGTTCATGCCATGGAATTTGTGTGAAGGTCAGAAGACAACTTTTTGGAGTCAGCTCTCTCCTACTATGTGGGTTCTGGGATTAAACTCAGGTTGTCAGGCTTGGTAGCAAGTGCGTTTACTGGCTGAGTAGTCTCCCTTGACCCCATATATACATTTTATTTCAATGAAACAGATGGAAGGAGAAGGGAAGATGTTCTTGTACAGGGATGGACTTACTGCCTGTTAGTTATCCCAACGGGGAAGGGGATGAGAACTGTGTGGAGCTAGGGTGCAGATTTTAGCCAAGGAGGCAGTAGCAGGTACAGTCTCTTAGCCCATGGTGCAGAGTACGTGAACGATGTCCCTGACCTTGTCCCCTCTGCATGGAAGGTTGGTCAGCTGCTGTCTCACATCCGAGTGTTGTCAGGATCTCGCATTGGTTCTGAGCTCCAACCATTCTCTGACCAGACTGTACATTGGAGAAAATGCCTTGGGAGACCCAGGAGTTCAAGTTTTGTGTGAAAAGATGAAGGACCCACAATGTAACTTGCAGAAGCTGGGGTAAGTCAAATTCTTTTCAGAGATGATTTATTTGGGAAGTGTGGGATCGCAACATCGGCATCAGAAGTGGTTTGAAGCTAAGCTTCATGTAGCACACAGTCGGGATTCTGTACTGCAGATTCAAGTAGCCGTGGGTTTAGTCAGCTGTGTGTTAAAATATTAGGAAAAGTTATGTCTGTACTTAACATATATGAACTTTCCTCTTTGTCATTATTCTCTGAACAACTCAGCATAATTACTTACACTGTACTATCAGCCATGATGGGTACCAAAGGTAATCTAGAGATAAGTACAGTCCATGGGAGGATGTAGAGAGGTGATATGCAAACACTCTGCCATTTTACATGAGGGACATGGCCATCTGCAAACTTTGGCACCTGTGGGGGTGTCTTGGGGCCAGTTACCTAAGGACACTGGGGGGGGGGAGTTGTATTACCGCTGATGAGGTAGGTTCTACTGACTTACGGCTGTATAGTCAGAGCTTCTTAAGAGTTGGCAGCTCTACTTCCCCCATGGAGCACACAACTTGCATCTAAGACACTCACAAGAACAGTAACCCATTTCATGTGTGAACTCTTCTGCAAAGCAAGCCCTTTACACTGAGTTCCCAACCCCACAGCAGCTTGTTAGATTCTGAGCCCTGGTGCTTGCCCTTCTCCACATGGGCTCGGAGCAGCAGCTCCAGTCTCTGGTTCTTAAAGACAATCTCATACTTATGTGGGACAGATGTCTTTACACCCTCAGCTGTGGTGTAGCTCAGCATCAGCCCCAGTCTAGCCGTGCTCTCTCAGGTGACAGCTGGATTGTGGATCTTCCTCTTGGCATCCAGACCTGAAGACACAGTGAGATTTTTACCTTTGGTGTCAGGCCGCTTTGCTTTCAGGATGGTTCCTTAGGTTTGATAGTTTTTACACTTTATTTTTAATTCACTACATCTACCTATTCACTTATGTATTTATTCATTTACTTATTTAATATGCACCACAGTATACGTGTGGAGGTCGAAAGAACTTTATGGAGTCAGTTCTACTTTTACATGTATTCCAGGGATGGAACTCGGGTCATCCAGCTTGGCAGCAAGTGCCTTTACCTGCTGAGCCATTTTGCTGACCCCATATCAGGTTTTTGAGGTTGGAATTCTGCAGCAAATAAAAACACAGACGGCCATTCACTGCTCCTGCCTTGAGCTTCACCTCTTCAAGTTCCTTTCCCCGAGTTTTCTCATTGATTTGATAGCTTCGTCTTCTGTAAATTCTGCACTGGCTTCTCTTCCTGTGATCTTTAGGTTTTGGCATTGATTTTCTATTAATTGTGTCTACACTCTCTGAGATATCTTATGTACCCCTAAGCACCAGTGACCATTCATAGACAAATGTCTTTCTAAGAAGATCTCACACTCAGATACCACTTGTGAGGTGTTTTGGTTTTGCTACAAAAATAACATAAACTTAATTTAATATAATGAATTATCCAGATAAGATTAAATGTGAAAAATCTTTCTGCCTCTAGAAAAGGCTACTTACAAACCTGGCAAGCAAAATTTGAGACACAGTGTTATACACAAACACCCATCCACCCATATGCTCATACATTGTCAATTGCTTTATCAATCCACACATTGATCCATGAATTTACTCACCAATATATTTATCCAACTATCCATCTTTTTGTCCAAACATTCTGTATGTCTGAGTTTACTAAGGTTGCTATAACACAGTACCCAAAACATAATGGTGTAGACAACGTCAACTGTCTCTCAGTTCTCGAGGTGGGGGTTAAGGCATTAGCAGAGCTGGTGCTTCTGAGGGCCATGAGCAAGAATACATTCTTTTGTCACCCTTACTGGCAGTCCTTGGTACCTTGCCTTGCAGAGGTGTCACCTGATTGTGGCCTTCATCTTCACACAAGCTGCTCTCTGTGCCTCTGTGTGTAACGCTAAGTCCCAAGTTCTGGTTCTAAGATTGTATTTATTTATTTGTAATTATGTGCACGAGTGTGTGTTGGGGAGACCATTACATATAAGTGTAGTGCCAAGGAGGCCAGAAGAGGCATTGGACCCCTGGAATTAGCATCACAAGTGATTGTGGTCTGTCTGGCATGAGTGCTGGGAACTAAACTTGGGTCTCCTGGAAGAGCAGCAAGCTCTCTTAACTGCTGTTCCATCTCTCCAGTCAGAAGCTCTGGTTCTGATGAGGATGTCAGTCATACCAGATTTGGGCCCACCTGGTAACCTCATCTTAACCAATTACGTCTGTGAGGTTGTAAGGTTTGGTGTCCAGTTATGATCACATTTTGAAGAAGTGGAATTTCAATATAGGAAGTTTCAGGAGAACAGAATTCAACCCAACACTGTAGTTAGAGATTCAAACTACAAACACAATAGAAGTATTTTTCTTTGACTTGTTTTTCATTTATCTGGATACATTTATGTATGGTTTCATTTATGTTTGGAGCACAAAAACCCATAGTGCCCACCAGCAGTATTTATCCAGCCACTCGCTAAGTCAAGGACTTCTGGGTAAGTTTCTACATTTTTACTGTTATTATAAGTCACTCTGTAAAACACATGCCTGTATATGGAACTTGATGCATGTGTGTGTGCATGTGTGTGTGCACACGTATGTGTATTTCTTTCATAATAGGTTCCCTAATGTGTAGCATGAATGAACTAAAAATTTTAGCCACTTTATATATTACTATCTTCTCCTCTTGAACTTTAGCATAATATGCTCTAGTCTCTGGTTGCATAATATAGTCTAATCTTACTTCCCCTGTGCTATAGAAGTGTCACACATGGCCGGGCGGTGGTGGCGCACGCCTTTAATCCCAGCACTTGGGAGGCAGAGGCAGGCGGATTTCTGAGTTCGAGGCCAGCCTGGTCTACAGAGTGAGTTCCAGGACAGCCAGGACTACACAGAGAAACCCTGTCTCGAAAAACCAAAAAAAAAAAAGAAGTGTCACACATGGACACATAAAACTGGGCTTAGCTATTATAACACCCCTTCTGTCTGCCACTGTTAGATCCCTCCCTGCCCCTGTTTGAACTTGCTGAGCAGAGAACTGTCCAGAGGTTTCCCAGCAAGTTCACAGAGGGCATTTACACATTCCACTACTCTCAGTTTCTTCTTTGTCTTGTCTTTCCTTCCTTTCTCACTTCCTTCAGAGAAAAACCAGCCTTCATCCCACTTTCCCCTGGTTCTGTGTTGTATTGTATTAGTTTTATGTTCCAAAGGCCTGTCCTGTTCTGCTTTTCTTTATTGTTCACAGTCTCTTTCTTATGGAAGTTTGGATCCCACTCTTCCCATTGACAAGTAGGAAGCTCTCATTATTTTTCAAGTAATTATTCTGGTCGGCAATTTTATGATATTTATTTATTTATTTTCTATGGTGTGTGTGTGTGTGTGTGTGTGTGTGTGTGTGTGTGTGGTGTGTATTGGTGGGTGTGCGTGCTGTGCCATGCATGTAGAGGTCAGAGGTCAGATGACATCTTGTAGGGCCTTATTCTCTTCTTTCTTTCACCTCGTGGGTCATTGGGTTCAAATTCAGATCATCAGGTTTGGCAGCATCATGCTGTGTCTACCTTTTTCTACCAATTCATCTCATCATCCTCAAATAATTATTCTGATCTCCATTTTTCTAACTTAAAAGTAGAGCTATGACAACTGGGGATGTAGCTTAGTCAATAGAGTGTTTGCCTAGCATGAACAAAGCCCTCAGTTTGATCACTAGCACCTCTTAAATAGGGTGTGGTGGTGCATGCTTGTAATCCCAGCACTCCAGAGGCGGAGACCAGAGGATCAGAAATTCAAGCTCATGTTAGATTATACAGCAAGTTAAACACTATTCTAGGTTACAAGAGATTCTGTCTCAAAAAAGAAACAAGAAAAGGAATAAAGACAACACTCCTATCTTGAGTTTGTAATAATGAAATAAAACAATCACACTCAATGCCATTATCCCAATACCATGGGAACTTTGGTTTTCATTGGGAGGCAGTTTTAGGGAACGAGGAGGATTGCTGACAAATAGAAAAGCCACGTGGAGTTAACTGAATGCAGCAAGTAGCATCTGTGTTCAAGACACACAGAACAAAGCCACCGGAGATTAGTGGCTTTCACCCAACAGACAGCACACTTAAGGAAGGAAGGCTTATTGTGGTTCACACTGTGAAGGTACAGCTCATCACAGGGCGGGAGAGCAAGGGGAGGCGGGGGTGGGGGGAGGCACAGCGATACGATGGTGAAGCAGCCAATCATGCTGTGTCTACAAACAGGAAGCAGAGAGAAGAGTACTGGTGCTCACTTCCTTTTTCCATTAATCCAGTCTGAGACCACAGCCAATGGGATGGTACCACCCACATTTAAGGAAGGGCATCCCACTTTAGTTAACCTATCTAGAAAATTCCTCACAGATATGGCTAAAGATTTATCTTGAGGGTGATTCCAGATCTTGTCAAGTTGACAGTCAATGCATAAATTGTCACATCTAGATTGGCTGGAACTGAGTTATTACTAGTGGGCGGGCCGACAATATATATTTGTTTGATTTATTTTTAAGCATTATACCATGCATTAAACATACCTACCCCTCAGCCTCAATGGTTACCAATATCCTAATCACATGGCTTTGACGTTGTCATTTTTTTCTGAGGTGCTATGAATGGAACTGAGGACCTCATACATGCTAGGCTTGGATTCAGGTGACCCCATGACATTGAGAGACTGTTCCTCTCTGGGAAGATCTGGAAGCAGAGTTTAGGTCTGGAAACAGAACCTGGGTTACAAGGCATGCCCTCTGGTGGTCTATTCCCTCCAGCCAGGCCACACCACTTGAAGGTTCCACAGCCTGGCTAAACAGCACCACAATCATTCAGTGAGTCTGTAGGGGAAAATATATTTAAAGTACAATATTTGGCTATAGACAGTGTTTGATTTGACCTCAGAATAGTAAATCAAAAATTCCTGGACTGTTGCTAAGGTTCCAGAGGTAAAGGCTCCTGCCATCAAGGCTGACAACTTGAGCTCAATTCCTGGACTCACAGAAGGGAAGGGGTCTTAGTTAGGGTTTCCATTGTTGTGAACAGACACCATGACAAGGCACGTTTTATGAAGGACAACATTTAATTGTGGCTGGCTTACACATTCAGAGGTTCAGTCCATTATCATCAAGGCAGGAAGCATGACGGCATCCAGGCAGACATGGTGCAGGAGGAGCTGAGAGTTCCGTGTCTTGATAGGAAGGCAGCCAGGAGAAGACTGTTTCTAGGCAGCTAGGAGGAAGGTCTCCAAGCCCACCCACCCCCAACAAGACCATACCTACTCCAACAAGGCCACATCTACTCTAGTAAGGCCACACCCCCTAATAGTGCCACTACCTGGGCCAAGCATATTCAAGCCATCACAGAAGGAAACAACTAATTCCACAAAGTTGTCCTCTGATCTCCAAACATGTGAATTCTCTCTCCCCTGCCCCTCTCGTGGTCATCCAAGCAGAGTATGAGACCGTTGTCCATCTCTCCTGTTGGATTCGGAGATGTAGAGTCATACTTCAGATTATAGTCAAGATGCTGGTCTCTGACCTTTAAGTTGGAAGGATGCAGCTCACAGTGACGCCTGAGAGAACCTGGGCACTGAGGACTCCCTCTTCTGTTCTTCCTATAGGTTGGTGAATTCCGGCCTTACTTCGATTTGTTGTTCAGCTCTGACCTCTGTGCTCAAAACTAACCGGAACCTCACACACCTCTACCTACGAGACAATGCCCTTGGCAATACGGGACTCAAGCTCCTCTGTGAGGGACTTCTGCACCCCGACTGTAAGCTACAGATGCTGGAGTGAGTCCATGGGCTGCCTGAGGGAATATGAGGTGTGAGGCAGGCTGTGGAGTGACCCTGAGGCAAATCTGTCTGAGGAGTGAGGAGCTCATGGTGTCCATTAGAGAGGACTGGGATGTTCCTAGAGGATGTACAGCTTAAAAGTTGAGCCCCTGCCACCACAGTCCTGAGAACTGCAAACAAATTCATTTGGTCCATTGATACTTTGTGGAAATCTGGGGGGAATGTAATGTTTAGAAAGAGTCAATTAACATATTTCTGTTACTATTTTGGTCTGCACAACCCAGTACCTTGGGAAAAGAAACTTCCATCTAAACGGGAGAAAAGCAACAGTATCATATAAAGCAACTTCAAGCTGGTCAACCTGAGGCTTTTTATGTACATGAAAAAATGCAGGCATGGAGTACGGATGATTAAGGCTGTTTTCTTTATATCACCCTTCTTTTCTTAAAGATTAGATAACTGTAGCCTCACCTCACACTGCTGCTGGAATCTCTCCACAATTCTGACCCATAACCAGAGCCTACGGAAGCTGAACCTGGGCAACAACGACCTGGGCGATCTGTGTGTGGTGACACTCTGTGAGGTTCTGAAACAGCAGGGCAGCCTCCTGCAGAGTCTACAGTGAGTGTGTTTTACAGAGAGCTTCTCATGGGGTTGGGGAGTGGGGTGCTGAGGGGAGGGTGACCACGGAACAAAAAAAAAAAAAATTAGAGTTCCTCTGGATTGATTTGCAGTTTTCTGAAAAGTCTGACTCAACGCTTCCTTTCTGTTTTCACAGGTTGGGTGAAATGTATTTAAATTATGAAACAAAACGCGCCTTAGAAGCCCTCCAGGAAGAAAAGCCTGAGCTGACTGTTGTCTTTGAGATTTCTTGGTAGGTGTGGAAGCAGGACTACCAGGGGCCACAGTCCTGCCCCAAGTCCTGCCCCAGCCTCAGTGAACACTGTTCTTCACTGCTATCAAGCCCTCCTTCACCATCAGGACCACAGCCCTGGCTCTTCTAGTATAGTGTATGGAGCAAAGGCTTGTGTGGTACCAAGCATGTTTTCTCCAGTGAAGACACTGATAATGTGAAACTGCTGGAAGATGCCCTTTGGGTCATGTCCTCAGCTGGCAAGGTGTTCCCTCTTGGTGACTTCATGGAACCAGCTTCTAGAAAACACATTTTCTGTCGTTTCCCTCCTCCACCTCCTCTGCTACTTTTTAACTCTTCCTTCTCCTCCTCTTCTCCCTCCCCATCGCTCTGTCTCTGTCTGTCTCTCTTTTGTCTCTTTCTGTCTCTCTCTCTGTCTCTCTCTGTCTCTCTGTCTCTCTGTCTCTCTCTCTCTCTCTCTCTCTGTCTGTCTCTCTCTCTCTCTCTCTCTCTCTCTAGTTTTCTTGACAATGCTTTGTTCATAGCATTGTTCTTGTTTTCCTCTTAACTGACCATACCATATAAGTATCTGCCTGTGGGCTAGATGGCAACCTTGTGGCAGCCTCTCAGCTACACATTTGGGTTTTTTTTTAATAGTTATGTTTCCTATTTAGCTACCTAAAAACTCAAAGATTTATAAAACCCATTTTTGTATTTATTTTATGTTTTGCTGTTTTCTTAATTTAAGAATGTATTTAGAATTCTTTTAAGTTATTTATCCAAACTACTAAAAATAAATCAGTTTACACATTTAAAATATCTCTTTGCAAAATGATTAAACTTTGGTTAATGAGGGGGAAAAATCACATCACTCATATTTTGGAGGAGGGATTTCAGCTCTACGAGCACAGAGGGTAACATCACACAGGGGAAGGTTAGCTCACATGGAGAAATGAATCCTACGGCATTCTCAAATAGAAGTATAACCTAGATTCATTTTGCCCATGGATGACAACAGCTTACCTTAGGTTTATCCATTTGAAGAGAAGCTCCTCTCCCAAGTGGCACTGAGTACTAAGTCATGAATAAATACTGACTAATTGCCCTGTGCACAGATACTACTTTTAGACACAGCAGTGCTCAGAGTGGAAATACTGTTTCATGCTGTCCAGTGGGGCCACCAGACCTTTGCTATGGAGATGTGGCTGATGAGCTGTTAATATAAGGAGAGTATGCCAGGCAAAGCAGCCATGCCACTAAACAATCTCTTTACATAAGCTGGCCTTTACAAATAGAGCCTATTTTTCCCCTTGAATGTCTGATCCTCCACACCCCATCTCTCCAGTGCTGGCATTACAGGCGTGTGCCACCACGTGGTTTATGTGATGTCGGAGCTCAAACCTGGGGCTCTGGGGATGCTCGGCAAGCATCCCACCAACTGGGCTATCTCTTTCTAGTAAGGCTAATTTATTTAATTTAATAATTTAAATTAAACTAATTTAAAACTATGTGGTGCACAGTTCAGTGCAAACTCTTTGCCTACTTAGGAGTGTGTGGTGGGGGGTGTGAAGGCATGCATGTGTATGCATGTGTGTCTACATGTATGTGTGTATGCATGTATGTCTGCGTGTATGTGTGTGTATGCATGTAAGTCTTCGTGTGTACAGTAGTAGTAGCAGTAGCAGCAGCAATGCTGGTGATTAAAGTCTAGTACTGAGCTGTCCCCCAAGTCTTGGTCTAGGGCTTTGAATATTTATCTACATATTTGCTTCCTGTATCATGGTAAGCTGAATTGTGACATGTTATCTCCATGTTGTAAATTTTTGACATGAATTATAAAAATACATTTTTTCTTTCTATTACATAGCAATTTGTCATGTCAAAATGCTTTAATTTACTCAAGAGTTTAATCACTTAGATACTTTATAACCCTGAGTAATAGAAGTTCTCAGGACTGGAGAGATGAATCAGTGGGTAAGAGCACTGGCTGTTCTTCCAGAGGACCTGAGTTTGATTCCCAGCACCCACATGGTGGCTCATAACCATTTGTAACTCCAGTTCCAGAGAATTGAACACCTCTTTGACCTCCACAGACAAAACACCCATAAAATAAATTTAAAATTTTATTTAATTATATTATAATAATTCTATTTATTTAATTCTATTTAAAAAATAGAAATTCTCTATGCTTATCCTGTGGCATTACCCGTCTATGAAAATGGATATTCTAAGGATCCCCTGTTGTTCCAAGTACCTTTGCTGCTTGGCAGCCCATGTCAACACCCGGGACTGGAGAATAATGACTATTTACTATATTTCATCCTGAGGGCCCATGGATTCATTCAGGGTTCTGCTGAGTAGTTCTTCTGTCCAATGTTGAGATTACCTGTTTGGAAGATCTAGCCCCATTCACAAGTCACAGAGCTGGCTGCAGGCCTGGCTCACATGGTACTTCAGTTATGGTCTCCCCAGCATGGCCAGTCTTACAGAAGATGGACCTCTTGGTGATTTGGGGTACCTGAGAATATCACCAATTAAAAGTTCCAGGTATTTTACAGCTTTGTCCAGGAAGCTCTAGAGAATCTCTCACTGAGTTTTAGTGGTCAAGCAGGTCGCTAAGCATAGCCTTTCACAAATCCAAGAGAATTTGAGATTGTCAGTTAGCACAGCTGTTTTGGGAAACACAATCCTCAAATGTTTCCTAGAATTAGATCAAATCATTATATTGATATACGTACTGATTACCTCTCTTGGTGAGTCTTATCATATTGACTGTGGCTTGGATTTGTACCACTGCTTAAGGGTTTTTCTATGTTACTCTGGGATATAAAGGGCTTTGAGCTGTTACACTGTGATAGCTCTCTGGGAATCCATTGGAACAAGCACCATGGTCCTGGACTGGCATGGTCATTATTTTTCACATTTCTTAAATCAAATTCTTCAGCTCTGTGACTTGCTTTTAAGCCTTGCCGTCACAGTTAGAAACACTTTCTTAATTTTTCCTCTTTTTGTAATTTCCATCCATTTATTGTTAACTTGCTAGTCTTGATTACATCAATAGTGTCTCTCAAGCCAGTAGGATAGAAACAGTGAACTAAATATAAAGGGATCTTCAGTGCCGGGGAGTTGGGGGAGGGGGACAAATGCAAGGTACTAGAGGCTCAGTGGTTTGCTTGCTGCTCTTGCAGAGGACTTGAGTTCAATTTCAACTTTAGTGGATCTGATGCCCTCTGCTGGCCTCTGTGAGCAACTGCACTTACACACACCCCACTCATTCACTCATTCATATATATATATATATAATCAAATACAATCTTCAAGAATTAGCTAAGAAAGAAAACCAAATGCAAATAAATATAAGATGCCTAAAATGGTTCCATTTCACTGAAGGAGGCAGCCAGTAGGATGTGAGAATCTCAGTTTCCTTGGCTACCAGAACTCTATAATAACTAGAGCAATTACTGCGGTTTTTAATAATTGATTCTTACATGAAAATGAGATTTGCTAATGAATCACACATTATCACATCAGTATCACACAGAATTATACTTATAAACACTCAATGTATCACCAGCACCACAAAAGCCTTCTACAAATGTTAGATTGATTAATCAACAACCTTTAACATTTCTCATGTGTGATTCTAAGCAGCAAAGCCAGAACCAGGCTAGGCAGGAGTTCTAGGCTGAGTTAGACATTCTTCAGCTCTTCAATTTTTTTTTTTATGTTGGGTTTTATCGTTTTAACTGTTGCTGTATTCTCCACTGGAATATGCCCATCCGGAAGGTGAGAGGGTGTCTGCACCTCTGTACCCCAGTCATCTAGCCTCTCAGCAGAAAGTTCCCACTCAACAGTGGGAAAACTTCCTATAAAGATAGTTTGAACCGGAGGAAAAAGAAAATCATCGATGGTCATGAAAAGAAGGACACAGTCATGTCATTCTTATGACATGTTGGGAAAAAATTACAAAATTTATCGATTTTGATCCATGAAGAACAGATGTTTATTATAAGCAAGGTAAGACTCTGTGTGGGGTTCGTATTGTACACATCTGGAGTGACTGTAATGGAAGAAAGGGGCTTAAAAAGATACCTGGGAAACGAGAGAGGACATATAGGAAGGAAAAAGGAAGAAATTAAATGTTTAATTAATTAAACATTCTAACGAGTACTTGTGAACACCAAGTCATTTAAGCACGTCTTGAAGACATATGGCTTCTTAGAATTGTGCTCTCAGATTCCGGACTTTGAGCATCATCACCACATGGAAGGTGAAATGCTTTCAGATTTTTTCTTTCAAATCTCTCAAAGAACCTACTGCCCCAAGCATTTCCGGCAACCCTAGGGGTTGAACTCAGTACTTCCCACATGCCAAATAAGTGCTGTACCATACCTGAACTACAGCCCCACCCCCCAGAGTCCTCTCTGCAAGCTGTGTAGGTCTTCTGGGGTTACACTTTCACCTTCCACAGAGTCTCCCGGTCCTTGCCAGGAGTCTTCGGAGAGCTCCCTTCACGTCCTTATTCCTCAAGGTGTAGATGAAAGGGTTGAGGGTGGGGGTGATTATAGAATAGAAGAGGGAGATGAACTTGCCCTGCTCTTGGGAGTAACTGGATGGCGGCTGCAGGTACATGTAGATGGCGGGCAGGTAGAAGAGGGAGACCACCAGCAGGTGGGAAGAACAAGTCCCGAAGGCCTTGCGCCGTCCCCGGGAGGACTGGATCCTCATCACTGCCCGAGCAATGAAGCCGTAGGAGAGCAGGATAAGTGCCAGAGGGACCAGAACAAAGAAAGCCACCAGCACAGCCAATGTGGCATCATTCGCTGTAGTATCAGCACAGGACAGCTTGATCATGGCGGGCACCTCGCAGAAGAAGTTGTTCAGCACCTGCCGGCCACAGAAAGGCAATTGCACCGTCAGGGCGACCTGCACAAGGGAATTGCCAAAGCCGCTGAGCCAGGCCATAGCCACTAGCTGCTGGCAGAGTGGGCGGTGCATGATGATCGCATACCGGAGTGGCTCACAGATGGCCACGTAGCGGTCCAGAGCCATGGCCGCCAAGACAATGCACTCGGTGCAACCCAGCCAGTGGAAAATGGCATACTGCACTGTGCAGCCACTGTAACTGATGGTCTTCTGGGAGCTGCCCATGTTGAACAGCATCTGAGGGACAGTGGTGGTGGTGTAGCAGAGATCCAAGAAGGACAAATGGCTGAGGAAAATGTACATGGGGCTGTGGAGCTGTGGATCCAGCTGAGATACCAGGATGATGGAGATGTTTCCCAGCACAGCCAGAATGTAGGACACCAGGAGGACTACAAAGACTGGGAGCTCCAGCCATGGCCTGTCAGAAATGCCCAGGAGGATGAAGTCCTTTGGGTTATCCCAGACGAGGCT